ATTTCAGTGTATTTCACTATGCGTGTGCGCATTTATACTTAGGTGACTGCACATGGAGTTTGATGGTCTCTGCAGTTGCCATCTTCCTTCCTGAGCATTATGTGAGACTGCGAGGTCAATACAGGTGATCCCTACTGCTGCTTATAGTGTGACAGTCAATTTACTTCCTGCTGGGTAGGAGTGTTTGTTTCCGTGTGTGTGTACACATCATACACTGTCCCACTTTCCAAGCAAAGCAAGGAGGTATTGTAGCCTGTTGCCTGAAAAACTCTGCTTGACTTGATGCACATGAGCACATATCTGCGATGTAGAAAATGCAGCTATCCTTCATCTAATAGTTTGTACCAGCTTTTGGTTTGACAAGACACTTGTATGTTTTGGTGAGGAGCACAGCAGGTATGAGAAAGTATTTCTGGGGCTTGCTTTTGCTTTTCCGCCTGAAGCTGAGCCTCAGGTATCAAGGATGACTTGGGAAACACGTCTGTTCCTCAGCGGGTCTGTGAAACACTACAGCAGATGTTCGGAAAGGGAAGGCTAAAGATGACGCTTACTGAATGGGGAGCACTGCAACTGAGGGTCCAAAAGAAAAGCTTGGCTTGGGGCTCAGTGGGTGAAAATACCAAAAAGTACTGGATACTGAGGCAAAGTTTCTTAATCAGGTCATATTTTACTTAAATAGTCTAACTTTTTTAGGCCTTTGAGGGGCCAGTATACACAGGACACAGAACCACTAGAGGGAGCACAACATAATTAAACAGAAGGTTCATTAGCATATATGCTAATGAACAACTCAATAAACCTGAGATTCTAATCCCGCCACACATTGGTCTGATTGGTCGACTGTTAAAAATTATACTGATGTGCTGAACTGGGTGTCAAACATTGATTTAATTTGAACGTTTTAGAAATGCTACGCTCATGACGCAAGACTGAAAAAACAGTGAAGGATCGACAAAGATGCCCTTCTGATGCACACATAAGAAAGTTAATGCAGAAGGAACCCAAGGCATTTCTCTATATAGTAATGTAGATAAGCAATAGGAAATGAACACAGTCAGAAATGTTGCAAGCCAGGCAAGTTGCAAGTCTTACTGTCCACATTATCATTACAGTCCAATGTGCTATGAACAACATTTGGCATTTCTAGAGATCATATGTGACCCTGGACCACAAAACCGGTCGTAAAGCCGTGGTCACACTAGACTTTGAGCATGCAAAATTTGTTCAGGCGGTGCTGCGAAAAGGGGCGGGAGCAGGATATGACATCACGTGCCAAAATATCCTCACTAGTCATAATTCTTTTCTATTTAAGTGATTATAATCAGTCACAAGTACAGTTAATAAAGTACACACACGCACACAAACAAATCTCAATCTATCTATCTATCTATCTATCTATCTATCTATCTATCTATCTATCTATCTATCTATCTATCTGTCTGTCCATCCTTCAATTTCTATATCCATTTGTATGTCTATCCATCTATCTTATTATTTTTCTATCTATCTGTATGTCTGCTTAGCAGGGCAACTGAGTTTACTTGGATTTTCACTGTGAACACTTTACATGTAGGGTTAGGTTAGTTGCATACTGTAAGTGCATCTGAACTATAAATATTTTAGTAGATATTTGTACTTGAAAACAAATCACCATTTATGGAAATTATCTTTTATTTCAGTGTATTTCACTATGCGTGTGCGCATTTATACTTAGGTGACTGCACATGGAGTTTGATGGTCTCTGCAGTTGCCATCTTCCTTCCTGAGCATTATGTGAGACTGCGAGGTCAATACAGGTGATCCCTACTGCTGCTTATAGTGTGACAGTCAATTTACTTCCTGCTGGGTAGGAGTGTTTGTTTCCGTGTGTGTGTACACATCATACACTGTCCCACTTTCCAAGCAAAGCAAGGAGGTATTGTAGCCTGTTGCCTGAAAAACTCTGCTTGACTTGATGCACATGAGCACATATCTGCGATGTAGAAAATGCAGCTATCCTTCATCTAATAGTTTGTACCAGCTTTTGGTTTGACAAGACACTTGTATGTTTTGGTGAGGAGCAGAGCAGATATGAGAAAGTATTTCTGGGGCTTGCTTTTGCTTTTCCGCCTGAAGCTGAGCCTCAGGTATCAAGGATGACTTGGGAAACACGTCTGTTCCTCAGCGGGTCTGTGAAACACTACAGCAGATGTTCGGAAAGGGAAGGCTAAAGATGACGCTTACTGAATGGGGAGCACTGCAACTGAGGGTCCAAAAGAAAAGCTTGGCTTGGGGCTCAGTGGGTGAAAATACCAAAAAGTACTGGATACTGAGGCAAAGTTTCTTAATCAGGTCATATTTTACTTAAATAGTCTAACTTTTTTAGGCCTTTGAGGGGCCAGTATACACAGGACACAGAACCACTAGAGGGAGCACAACATAATTAAACAGAAGGTTCATTAGCATATATGCTAATGAACAACTCAATAAACCTGAGATTCTAATCCCGCCACACATTGGTCTGATTGGTCGACTGTTAAAAATTATACTGATGTGCTGAACTGGGTGTCAAACATTGATTTAATTTGAACGTTTTAGAAATGCTACGCTCATGACGCAAGACTGAAAAAACAGTGAAGGATCGACAAAGATGCCCTTCTGATGCACACATAAGAAAGTTAATGCAGAAGGAACCCAAGGCATTTCTCTATATAGTAATGTAGATAAGCAATAGGAAATGAACACAGTCAGAAATGTTGCAAGCCAGGCAAGTTGCAAGTCTTACTGTCCACATTATCATTACAGTCCAATGTGCTATGAACAACATTTGGCATTTCTAGAGATCATATGTGACCCTGGACCACAAAACCGGTCGTAAAGCCGTGGTCACACTAGACTTTGAGCATGCAAAATTTGTTCAGGATGACTTGGGAAACACGTCTGTTCCTCAGCGGGTCTGTGAAACACTACAGCAGATGTTCGGAAAGGGAAGGCTAAAGATGATGCTTCCTGAATGGGGAGCAGGGACATTGCAACCGAGGGCCCAAAAGAAAAGCTTGGCTTGGGGCTCAGTGGGTGAAAATACCAAAAAGTACTGGATACTGAGGCAAAGTTTCTTAATCAGGTCATATTTTACTTAAAGAGTCTAACTTTTTTAGGCCTTTGAGGGGCCAGTATACACAGGACACAGAACCACTAGAGGGAGCACAACATAATTAAACAGAAGGTTCATTAGCATATATGCTAATGAACAACTCAATAAACCTGAGATTCTAATCCCGCCACACATTGGTCTGATTGGTCGACTGTTAAAAATTATACTGATGTGCTGAACTGGGTGTCAAACATTGATTTAATTTGAACGTTTTAGAAATGCTACGCTCATGACGCAAGACTGAAAAAACAGTGAAGGATCGACAAAGATGCCCTTCTGATGCACACATAAGAAAGTTAATGCAGAAGGAACCCAAGGCATTTCTCTATATAGTAATGTAGATAAGCAATAGGAAATGAACACAGTCAGAAATGTTGCAAGCCAGGCAAGTTGCAAGTCTTACTGTCCACATTATCATTACAGTCCAATGTGCTATGAACAACATTTGGCATTTCTAGAGATCATATGTGACCCTGGACCACAAAACCGGTCGTAAAGCCGCGGTCACACTAGACTTTGAGCATGCAAAATTTGTTCAGGCGGTGCTGCGAAAAGGGGTGGGAGCAGGATATGACATCACGTGCCAAAATATCCTCACTAGTCATAATTCTTTTCTATTTAAGTGATTATAATCAGTCACAAGTACAGTTAATAAAGTACACACACGCACACAAACAAATCTCACGTAATAGAAAAATCACATAAAATTACACGTTTCACTGTTGAAACGTACCATCTGCTCCTGTTTCCCTTGCCATCACAAACCAAGCCGCTTCTCTTTTTATGTGATTTTTGTAATCTTTTAAAGTTGTGTTGTATAAAACAGGATGATGCAAGTCATGCGACATTGCTAAAATTCCTCTATTTCTGTACCGAGAGGTCACTTTGTGACGTATTGATCTTCTATTGGTCTCACGCATTTACGTGAAATGAATTCACAGGTCAGAGTTCACTAAACAAGGGGCGGGAGCAGGATATGACATCACGTGCCAAAATATCCTCACTAGTCATAATTCTTTTCTATTTAAGTGATTATAATCAGTCACAAGTACAGTTAATAAAGTACACACACGCACACAAACAAATCTCATGTAATAGAAAAATCACATAAAATTACACGTTTCACTGTTGAAACGTACCATCTGCTCCTGTTTCCCTTGCCATCACAAACCAAGCCGCTTCTCTTTTTATGTGATTTTTGTAATCTTTTAAAGTTGTGTTGTATAAAACAGCATGATGCAAGTCATGCGACATTGCTAAAATTCCTCTATTTCTGTACCGAGAGGTCACTTTGTGACGTATTGGTCTCACGCATTTACGTGAAATGAATTCACAGGTCAGAGTTCACTAAACTTTAACTTTGCTACACAGCGAAATATCTTCGAACGGGCTTGCGTTTCTGGTCTGATGCATTCGCATGCTTATGAATGTCAATGGAACGAAAAGTCTAGTGTGACTGCGGCTTTAAGTCACACGGGCCAATTTTCAATTTCAATTATCATTTTCTTTTATGTCGAAAATCATTACGATATTAAGCAAAGATCACGTTTCATGAAGATATTTTGTCAATTTCCTACCGTAAATATATCAAAACTTAATTTTTTATTAGTAATATGCATTGCTAAGGACTTCACTTAGATAACTTTAAAGGTAATTTTCTCAATATTTAGATTTGTTTCAAATAGTTGTGTCTCGGCCAAATATTGTCCTATCCTAACAAACCATACATCAAAGAAAGCCTATTTATTGATATGTATAAATCTCAATTTAAAAAAAAATTACCCTTATGACTGGTTTTGTGGTCCAGTGTCACATTTTAGATGAATATTCTATTTTGTGACATCATATAACAACTAACGGCTCTTACCGGACCGTCGATTGATACACCAGGTCTTCCCGTCTCCGGTAATCCTCCATATGGGAGTAATTGGTATTGAACATAGCATCGTACGTAAAAATCTTCTGCTTAATAGTGCCTCCGTCTGTAACCTGTTGAGAAATAAGAATAAAACATTAATAAAAAGATGTGTCTTATAATGAAGTGGATACTCCATAGACCCCTATACATAAATAATGAGATGAGACAGTACAAGAGCTCGATGCCCACAGGCAAAGTTAGTGCTCACACTTTAAAATGATTCCATTGATCCGTTTAGAGTTATTATTGGTATATTATTTAAGAGCTCGTGAAGAGATTAATTTAAATGAGCTCTCGGAAACCTGCCGAGCATGGTGAAATCAGCGAGACACTTACATACATGGCATTAGGAATTTAGTGCACTATAAGGCCGCGATCTAATGATGACTGACGTTTTTGCTGTATTTTGTTGGTCTGCGGCACAGGAAAGGTAATGAAATGTGAAGAGATGTTGCAGAGGTGAGGGATATTCGCGGCACCATTGGCTCATTTCGCGTCTTTTTCCCCTCCCTGACGTTCTTGGCAAATGATGGAGAGCGGCTCTTTTTGCGCTAATATCCACAGGGGAGAGAAAGTCGCTTAGCATTTGAATGACTGTGATTTCTCGTCAGAGCACAGAAAGAAGAGGGAGAAAGAGGGGTGACAGATTTTAATGGAAGTGTTAATGCTTGCTTTTGAAGCGGGGGAATTGTTGGCAGGACAGGTGTCTTTCTTTCGGCGAACACTTGAGATGCTATCTACGGCCTCTTAATCTGCTCCCCCGGCGCTGTAAATCAGTCCTAGGTGGATTTGCGATTGGTTTTCCTCTGTGTGGGAAACAACAGTGCCACAAGGACAATGTTAAATTTGGTTTGATTTGAACAAACAATTCACGCTGCCCTCACAAATGAGTGTAGGTAGGCCACAATAACCTCTATTCCTCTAGAGATTCACACTGAATGCCTGCAGCCACTACAACACACAATGATTCATAATTGCTCAAATTCTCTTTAGAAAGGAATTATGGGCACAATGAATACAGGGGATAAACAATTCAAGCGTACAGCATAATGTTTACATAATGCATATCTGAAAACGCACAATAACAGTGAGCTATTCCAGAGCAATTCCAACATGATTTGATATATTTTAATACACCTGGAACAAGAGTCCATTTAAATGTGAAAGTGTGTGGGTTAAGAATATTTGTGAGTTCTTCCATCTCTTTGCGGTTACATTTGGAGGTCTGATACCTTAGAGTTGCAACTTTATTTCTAATAAAGCAGATAGTGTACGTTTATACATTATGTACCATACAATTATTTTTAAAAATCAGTAATATAAATACGCAACCTTCCAAAAATATATAAACCATAAGTATATTATTTTAGGCAGAAATATGATGACTATGATATGATGTATGATGAAAATACTTCTACAGAGAGACGTGTAGACGTGTCTGAGAAACAGGTCAGCAAAATGCTCATTTTGACAACCCAAGGAATGCTTTGGCATTGCACTTTGAGCACGACGATCACCCTGACCATTTGGCTGTCTTGTAAGCATGCAAGGGTCCTGCTACATTTGGCTACAGGTTTACAGGGAAGTGGGGACATTGAAAGGTCAGTCACTAAAAGCAAACCTGCGTTTGATAGTTGTGTTTTCCCCTCAGGTTGATCCTAGTCGCTTTTGTAGTTGACTCCAATAACGCTTAAAAAATGCTTTAAAAAGTGAAACGTAACATCGTTTCGGTCTGACATGTCTTGCAAAACATAAAGTGCTCCCAGTAGCTGAAGACAGATTCCTTTGGTGGATTCAGCTCTTGACTCAAGCATTGTTATGAACAGCCTGAGATGGGTCTACATGCAGTGCATTTCTTTCAATGTAATGCAGCAACCATTCAAAAGATTTATGAAAAACTGCATTCTGCCCTTTAGTGTACAACCATAACGTGAAATCACCTGTATCTTGTTTCATAAATCACAACTGCATTAGTGAAGCACAGAAGAAAAAAGCAAATGAGAAAATCGAACATACTGAATGAGTGTTTTTATTTTTTTGTACCTAAAACTTGTTTTTACCCTTTATGGAGACTCTGAAGAAAAATACAAATCTATAATTGTGGAGAGACACAAGGTGAAGGGTTTGCTCTGTTTACATGCATAATAAAATGAGAGGGTGCTTGTGTTTATTCAAGCACGTATGAAAATATTCGATAAGCAGCGAGTGTATGCTAAAAACAGCAAGCACATGATGAGTGGGAGAGGCAGAGTAAAGGTTCTGACATTCTCTCTGATAAATAGAAACGCAAAATGGGCCTTTCGAAAAAACAGACACTGTCACCCACTTTGTCATCATGACAAGAGAAGAGGACAGTAATGAGAACATCAAGAGCATGGTGGGAAACAAAAGGTGCCATTGTTCAATGGAATAGCATAAATGAAAAAAAAAATGAATAGCATGATGGGAATTCACATCTCATATAGTAGATGTTTGATAGGACATCAAGACCCTTTCAGATCAGTTTCCTGTGGTCTTTTTCTGTTCATTCTTAACTTCAAAATATATTTGAAATAAGTTGCATGCAATAAATTATGCATGACAATGTATTAGTTATCCAAATTGAAAACATACTGTATATGTTTCTTTTTAAATTACTTCACTTTTTCTTCCCAAAAGTTTTCCAAATATTTGATGTAGGTGTATCCACACTAATAAATAGAAATAGCTTTAAAATATATAAAGTAGTGCTTTATTTCAGAACAGTATATGATTTAAACAATTAAATTTTTTTTACTCTGCTCTGAAATTATTATTTTGAACATTTTGATTAAAATCCCCACAAAATGCTGATAGTTGATTTATTTCAGCAAACAAATATTTAAAAGTATTAAAAATGCATTTTCCTAATACAGCTATACTTTTAACTATTTAAAATATACACACATACTAGTCTCTCTCTCGCTTTCTTTACGAGTGTATAAAGACTTCTTTTAGGTCATTCATCTTAAAATTAATCAAAACTAATAATTTTTTGGAAATGTATGGAACAAATTCAATTGGTTTGTTCAACACTGTTGAAGACAATCATGCAAATATGGCAGGAAATGAGAGAAATGTAGCTGGCTCGCCTCCATGGCATGCTCATACATGTGGGCCTAATGAATTCACCTCGTAATCAAAATGGACCTGAACTCCCATGGAAAAGGACATCCATCATGCATGACTGTCCGCCCTGTTGTCTTGACGACTACCTCTGCTATGAGAATGTGGAAGGAGACAGGCAGACAACAGGAAACCAGATAAATGTGCTTTTATTGAGCAAAAAGGCCACATGGGGGGAAACGTACATCCAGCTCGAGGTAGTTTATTGAATCTGTTCCACATCAGAGACACGGAAGTACAGCAGTGGCCGTATACCATCTGGAGAGGAGGAAGAGAATCTGGGTGGGCGAGAACAATCTCCGCCTGTGTACCCACAATACACTCTAAAAGTAGGATACCTTGCTCATAGGTCCCTGTGTGATTCATTTGATTTTATTATTTTCTTTAACTTTTTTTCCATTTTAATGTTCCTAGATTACTTTTTTCTGTTTTAATTTTAATAATTAAAAAGAAAATCTTCAGAAAAACTGTGTTTCTGTTTTAATTTTCTGGATTTATGATTTGGTACAAAATTATTATCAAAAACGGTGGTAATCAAACAAAGGCATAAAACATTAACAATTTAATTAATCTTTCAAATGATATTAAATGAAAATTTAACAATTCATTTTACTTTTAACAAACATATTTCTACAGGTTTACTGATATAATAAAAACATGGAAGAAATTTTTCATTCTGCTGTACAATAGTAATATATTTGTGTCACAATTTCTTCAAGCTAAACCAAACTTTAATTTTGACAGGCTATCGTTAAGACCTTTGACGACGATAGTTTTATCAAATGAAATGCTGATTTTCCACATCACAGAAATCATAGTGTCACGCTGAATTCATGCTCTAACCAGCATCAGACAGCAGATATCTAGTCATATTCATTTTATGACAGACATGCCTGCGCTTTAATCAGTCAACTTTGATCAGTGCCACGTTACAGAAGGGTGCAGCCAAGCAGGCAAACAGGATCAAGAGGGGTTGGAGAAGGGTGCAACCTACAAGGGTATGAGCTGCTGAGGCTGAGGATCCCTACAGAGTGTAAACAATGCATGCCGTCTGCTGCGGTTCCACATGGAGGCCCTGGCCTTCTCCCTACCTTCACTCAGCTCACTTCAGCAGAGTGGCACCCCATCCCTCGGGCCTAACTGAGCTGTGGTTTTTTATAGAGCACTCCTGAATCACTTTCTGCAGCCTGAGGAAACACACATACACATTCACATAGACACTCAAAGGCTTAATCCGATCGTGACCTTAGATCACTTCCACAGCCTCACTGAAAATGAAGCTTCAGGTAGTAGCAGAACTCACATACATTTCATCATACTGTATGGCCACCAGTTTACTTTGGTTTATCCAATATGTTCAGCTGAAAGGAGACAAACTGATCAGACGCAAGTCAAATAAACAAACAAATACATATTTATTTTTTTAAGAAATTAATATTTTTTATGCAGCAAGGATGTATTAAACTGATCAAAATTGCCAGTAAAACATGATGTCACAAAAGAGTTACATTTTAGAATTTTTTTTATGTTTTATTCATCAAAAAATCCTGAGAGAAAATAAATGTATTTTGGCTACATAACTGTTTTCAATATTGATAATACTAAGAAATGTTTCCTACACACCAAATCAGCATATTCAAATGATTTCTAAAAAATCATGTGTCACTGATGACTGGAGAAATGGCTGCTGAAAATTCAGCTTCACTATCACAGGAATAAATCATTTTTAATAAAACGATATATTAAAAACTGCTATTTAAAGAAAATACCATATTATAATTTTTAAATCAAATTAATGCACCCAAAGTGTGCGTAAGAGACTGCTTTAAAAAAAATAAAAAATCTTGCTGACCCTAAAATTTCAAAGAATAGTGTATATGTATAGAAAATGGATTGCTGTTCTTTCCCCCTAAACTGTTTTGCCATT